AGCGGCAGAACATTAAAGAGCTGGTTCTTTATAAATGTTATTTGTATTTCTTCTCGCTGTTGTTTATTACTGTTATGTTAATAGTAATACCCATGCAGGACGGATTTTGCATTTTGCTCCACCATAATTTATATTTTTTTACAAAAATATAAAATTTTAACAAAAATATAAATTATTTCTTGAAATATATAAAAATTATCAATATAACTGAATTATGTACATACTGTATACCTTAGAATGCTCCATCATGTACGTGTAATACAAATGCGCGAGAACATGATATATAAAATATGAAGTTGCAGTGTAAGCTACGTCAAGCACCTTCTGTGACTGCCCTCTATAAATAAAAATTAGATGAGATAATAAATGCGCCGTACTTGCGGAAATATTTAGTGACGGTTTATTGTTGTTACCGTTATTGTTTTTATTTTGCATAGAATTTATTTATCTTCTTGGTTCTTTCGGTAAAGTCACGTAGAAGGGAAATAATAATATAATAAAAATAAAACATAATAAAATAATTCTCACGAAGTTTCAGGCCACAATGCAAGCAGCCGTCCTCAGGTGAAGACCAGGTCTGTCGGGGAGACAGCGTCGTATTATGTTTTATTTTTATTATATTATTATTTCCCTTCTAGAACCAAGAAGATGAATCCCTGCAGTCACGAAAGCTTTACATCGAAATTTAGAATTAATTTAGTTCAGCGGTTAGTCAAACTTTTCAGCTGGGCCATACAAGGACTCCCACCGGTGAGACCGGCTCGCCGATGTTTCGCCATATTTTTTCAAAGCGCCCTATTATAACCTCCTTTAATTGCTTCGTCTTTGACGAATACATTCTCTTGGTGACCTCGCAGGCATTAGAACAAGCACGCGAAAAAAAAAAACCGGGTCGAGGTCCACGTCGTATTTAGCCTTGCTACCACATTAATCAAATGAACAATTAACTTGCACATCAATTTATTGACGACAAAATGTGTTGCCAATTAAATATTCATTTAACAACCGAGAAGCGATGCGGCTAAACAACTTGAGGAGTTCAATCCAAATGCTCAATGGGATGGAAACGCTGCAGAGACGGTTTTGCAATTAAAAAACATCAACGAACGGTAACGCGTCCCTTGAAAGTATATTTAAATAGCTAATAAGAATTCAAAATGAACAAGACCATTGTTGGATTGTTACGACTCTCGACAATAAATGTTGCAATACTAATGCTGAAACTGCATTCAAAAGTAGCAATTGTAAGCCTCTGTGTTGGGCAAAAGAGGGTTGTTGTTTTTTTTTTCTCCAAATTTTTTTTAAATGTAAACGCTCAACAAACTGGATTCATAATCTCGTTTTGTGAATTATTAATAGACTTTAAATAAGCATTTCCACAGTGGGTCAAGCAGTGGGCTTTTGATGGAAGATTATCGTGACAAAGAAAATATTGTATTGAGTATACACACGGGGTAATGGTGCCAAGAGCCTAATTACCAGACATTATAGAGTTGAGATATGGATTAAAAGACAACCTAATCTCAAAGAATACTCACCAGAATACATTACAGAGATCCCCGGCTTATCAGTTAAATTTTTAATTAGAGTTTGGATTAGCTTTTGGACAGGGTTAATTTGGGTTCATGCACAGGGCTTAGCTCTAAATAATTCTGTCATGCTTCGTACCATTAAGTTCCAACAAAAAAAAACCTGCCGGTAAGGATACATTCTTGAGTGCGCAGAATGGCCTTGTGTTTTGCCTAAGCTGGTGATTACTCATTACACCTTCTCAATACAGCGACTTAACTACACGCCATGTTGCTGACACAATTGTCCCCACGGCAATGTATCAATTGATCGTCCTGCGTTTATTGCCCAGTACGCTTCATTTTGTTTACATTCGGGCATTTGTCATCAGAGACAGATCGGCACTCGTGGCCCAGACACAGTAAGAAGCTATCATTACACGCCCTCCCATGTGTCAGTATATCTTCAGAGATGTTCTTTGTTTCACATTCGTATTTCGAAGACAAAAAAACCCCAGTGTTACATAAAGCTATCTTATTCAGAGTGGCTAAGCATACATCTCTCTTACATTGCCCTCCTTGTGTTTTGCATAGCGCACGCTGCCCCCACGAAATGTGAGCGATAAGCCTTGCAGAAGGGGGCACGTGCTGATCGTGTTGGAAGGTATCGGCGCGGTCTGGCACACGCGCGTGAATGTGTATTCAGAAGCTGCCGTGCTCGGTTTTTTTTGGTCACGCACACTTGGCGAGAGGCAATCCGTCATTAGCTTGCCACCAAAAGTGTGGTCCAATTTACCGTTCAGCACAACTGAGCCCTCCCCCCCCCCCACACCACCCCATCTGCCAAAGACCCGGGCAGCCGGGTGTGAAATCAACACGGGTGTGGCCAGTGTGTTAGCGAGACAGGAAAGGGGGGTTTGGGTTGTCCGGGGCTATGGGGTGTTGAGGGCACGTGACACACACAGGCACACACGTGCGTGTGTGTGTGTGAGAAAGCTCTTGTGCATTGCCCACCACGCTCTGTGTCCGTGCCTAATGAGCAGCGGACCTAATACGTGAAAATAGCTCTCCTGTGCAAAGTGGGATTATCCCTGAAGGAGGCAGGTTTCCAGAGATGTGCATTGGTACTGGCGATGAGGATTGAGCCATGGCCAGTTGCCACAACGCACAAGCGTCCAACTTCGCTGGCTGCTTTGTGATGATGCTCAACCGCAGCACTTGACGGGGACAAAAAAGCGCAGTGAATTGACAGAATTTGACTTTCAGAGACCGATTTAACATAATGACGGTATATATAGGAGCATTGTGTGCATTTATATCCAAACGCTGAAGTTATTGGCAGGGACATCCGATGTCAAAATATCCTCTAATTTATTGTTATTCCATCACACCATGTCATTCAAATGCATTGCCTTTTGTGATTTGATTTGTGGAAGCTACTGTCCAAAAAGTAAATGAATTCTGCTGAGACTTTAATCACACTTTATACAATTTGCGTTTTTTCTTCCGATAATTGGGCTGCAATTGATTATTTTTCCATTCCTAAGATAAGTGTAATTGAAAATTTTTAGGGCTTTGCGGTAAAATAAATGGTGGTTAATGGGCCCAGCCCTTTACACATGACCATGTCTGCATTAAAGATGACGTAAGCATCCAGCAAACAGAAAATCACGTGGACTAAAAACATCACTAGTTTTAAGACAGGACAGACCTATAGGACACGAGTTAAAATGTAAAAAAAAATTAAACGTAAACTAAAAAAAGCTTAAGATATTTCATACTTTTTTTTCTCTCTAAAAGAGCCAAACCTCGACAAAACGGTTGCCCCGAAGATAATCGTCAAACGGACTTATCTTTTGAAAGAGCCAAAGAGTGTGGATTCCTGCAGTCACGAAAGCTTCAAATCAAGATTGGACTTATTAAGTGTTGAAATACATTCTGTCTAAGACGGTTCGGGATTGCGCCGCGCAATGTCTGCGGGCGGCAGATGAGAGCAGCAGGCGTCGCAGCGGGACGCGGCGCGTGCTTAACAAAGCATGCTGGCGGATGCTTCCATAACAAGCGGCAGGGTGAAGCTAAAATTAAAACGCAGCGTGTATATGGAAAAAAAATATCACCCTCCTCCCCCAAACTCACCACCCGCACGAAATTAATCACTTTATCGCCGTAAAACGTACAACGCGATCGCACATTGCGTAGAAGTTGTGGCCGTGGTGGTGTGAAAATTGGGGTAGTGGGGGGGGGGGCAAATAGGAGTTTACGTCAGGTGGGAACGGTAAACTGTGCTTGGAAGGAATCAGTCGTAATTTGAGCGCTGTGTGTGGTGGTGGTGGTGGTGGTGTACGCTGGGCCAAACACCCGCCACAGCGCTCCATGCCCGAGACCACCAACCGTGAAAATGATATGAAATACTAAAGGGCATTTTGCCTGGGATGGTTCCGTGATCCTCATTAATGCGCTGCTCACACTCTCGTGATGCACACAGATTAATTGTCTGTGGCACGAGGCGCACATGGGATGGCCCTATTTCATACACCACCTCACTGCCCGTGTGAGGCATTAAAAAAAAATTAAGGGCAATGTGAGTGTGTGGTGACATGCAGGGAAATGCACTACACACATACATGCCACTGCACTCAGTGCATGTATGTGTGGAATTTTGCTCTACAAAACATTAAATGATGACACAATTTGTATAGCAACTGTTTATCAATTCATATTACAGAAAATGGGATTTTTGTTGAAAAATAATAGATAATTATTAATGACAACAAGAATGAAAATACTGCAATGTTACATATGCGGGCCTGTTCTCCTATATGGATTTGAAATCTGGACAATTACAAAAACTCTAAAATACAAAGAAGAAGAAACAGGATTTTTTTATGAAGGAGGATGTTAAATATTTAATGGGCAGACAAGATAAGTAACATAAATGTCTTACGGATAGCAGCAGGTACACAATCAGAACATTAATCAGAGTAATTAGAAAAAAAGCAGGGTTTGATTTTATGGACATCGAATGAGAAAACAAGATGCTCAATATAATCATAGTTACGAAAAGCCAGAGGAGACAGCGAATAAAGTACATAAGCAATTTTAAATAGATGCCACTTGGAGGAATATTATCTCCTACATCCCACTAACACGGTTAGCTACGTGCGGTGCAATAGAAGTTCAAATTTTCTAGTCGTGGATTTCACACCTGATGATGATTGCTTGTGTTGCAGTCGAAACGTCGTGAGAAATTTTTTTTTTATATTTATATTATTTTATTATTTCCCTTCTACGTGACTTTACCGAAAGAACCAAGAATATGCAACATACACACATTCACGCAAACTTCGTGAGTAAACGTCACGGACAGAGCTAAATGGTAGAAGGAAGGCCAAGATCGTCACCGTCATTGAGGGAGGACGTGGCACAGCGAGAGAGAGAGAGAGGGACAGTGTGTCGATGGGCCGTGTCCACACATGGAAGCGGCGACCTTACCAGACGTGTCCCACATGTTGAGCTCGATTCGCTGTTTCTCGATCTCAAAACTTGCCGTGTAGTTTTCAAACACCGTGGGAATGTACGTCTGCATTGCGAACAGCAAAAAAGGTTTGGTGGAGGGGGGGGGGGACGACAACACTGCGTGAATCATCGTCGTGTTTACGCCACATGAGATGAATGCGCTTCGGTGCCCCGAGTGTGAGAGAGAAAAAAAACGAACGCACCACACGCGTACGGATATAATTATTTCAACGACGCCCCACTCGCTCTCTGCCTAATGGGGTACCCGTGCATAATGAAACTCCCCAAGTTAATTATTGCATTGCGCTACGTGCCCACCTATACCAATTACTCACGCCAATATTCCATTAAAATGACATCATGGAGCTGGGATGGAGGGGGGGGTTGTGTAGTTTCAAACATCAATTGCTCACGTGTCCCGTCCATGCCCCTGGTTGGCATGTGACTCGCTCGTTTGCTCAAACGGCCCACGTGCAGTGTGTACTGCACGTGTAACCATCTCACACAGGTACAACACCCACACGCCCGCTCCCATCATATGTGGGGCGCATGAGCTAATTCAGTTTGTCGGGCAACTAATCAAATGCCACTCTTCCGTCATGCTACTGGGGGCGCTTCCAGCGTGGATCCTGAACCTTGCGTCAATAGGGTCACGCAGCCACGGTATCGCTCGCACACACGCACAGGGAATCTATAACAGGCTTTGTGTCAGTGAATCAGTGAACGGTTAGGCCGGTATTGGTTGCAGAGGGGAGCCCCACAATGTGTGCCAGAGAATTAATTACAGTAGCTTTGAATATCGCTCAGTGCACCCTCCACTCAGTTGTGCTACGTATACTTAACGGCAGCTTTGTGTGCGAGGAATTTTAATGGCATTGTGAGCCTTTGCTATGAACGTGTGGCTTTACAGACACAGCCTGCGTGACCTCACTGAGTAAGCCCCCTTAGTAGGATTCTCAAACTCTGCAGGGCTGGAAGACAAAGATCCGCATTGTAGCCTCAGCATACTTTTTGGGGCAAGTGTTGTTAGCGAGCACCTATGAAGGCCGGCACGGCACGCGAAGAGGTGACGATGTTTATACAGCGGACCAGGTACCGTGCTCATTTGAGGCCGAGTCGACCTAGAGGAGGCCCAAGCCCGGTTCAGATATTCGCCACTTGTATTGGCCGTGAGCGCAGCGCGCTAACCGCACATCCGATTAGCACGGTTGGTTACGCACGGTGCGAAAGAAGTTCAACATACATACCTAACCGCTGCACTACCGCTCCTCCATACACACACACATCTCGTCACATAGAATAGCTACAGAGTAGCTTGCTGTTGTGCCTCTCCACTGGGCTGTAAGTATGTACACGGACTGGTCTCGTGGTCACACACACGGAACAAAATGTGCCCTTGCCAGTCTTGCGTGCGACATTTTTGAGTCGTGTGGTAAGTCTCTTTTGGTTCCCGTTTCACTCGCACATTCCGTGAGCCTGATGTGTTTATTCATTTATTATTTTATATTTGTCCGACGGTGCGAACGGAGTCCCGAATCGTGTTTTGGATTTGGAACGACGCGAATCGATTTTTCAGGTTTATTTTGGCCACAGGTAAAAGCCATTGGGCAATAAATGCTAATTTTCAAAGGGGGTCTGATAACGTAAACAAAAAAAACATGAAAACAATCGAAAAACCACTGCATATACGTGGTCAACAAGTTCCGAATAGAAAAAGTCGTACATCGACGCGGTACAGCGAGCACAAACAAAACAAGGCTAATGGAACACATCATATACAAACCCTATTCTAGCTTAAAGTCTGCAAAGCATGGCGATTAATTCAGCGAGACCTAAGCACTCAAAAAACATTTGATTCGCGATTTTTTTCTTTCATTAAATTAATGAATGTACGATCCGGCCTATCCCTCCGCCCCCCCGCTAAAAAAGGTCACAAAACTAGATGTCACTGTGTGAAAAGTGAAGCTAACAGTGAGTGGCTGACCTACGTGGAATTATAGGATTGTATTTTACCTCCTGGCTAGAGGAGCGCTTTCCCCCCCCCCCCAATTGCTCATTTGAGCAGGGGATGGAACGTTGATTCAGTACCCCCCCCCCCATTGAGTTTGACCACGCAGTCATCTCTGTATTACGCATCATCCGACACCAGCTTCGGCGTGGTTTTCTCCGAGTATTTTTATTTAACGCTGTGATTCGCACCTCCGATTAAGACGGTTTGCGCGACGTACGGCGCGAAACAAGCTCAACATCCATCTCTTCCACACAACGTAGAGATCGCAAACCGATGCAGATAACGCGTACACTCAAAAGGCTATCGACGTGAATGACACAATGTGGGTTTATATAACGCCGAACGCATGGGTATCTCTGGATTAGAATATGCTCGACAAATACAAACTATTCGTTGTGTTTGTTCCATTTAACCACCACGATGACTGACACTCGACTCACAATTGCAATTTCATGAGTTCACATCCCGTTCGGGGTCTACTCATGCCAGCATCATCCCATCGGGGGATGGAGTAAAGTGAGTACAACTTTGTGGAAAACCCCCACAATGGATTCCCTTGCCCTCGCCATAATAACGTGGAATTTACACCACGAAACACCCCAACGCTCGCTCAATCAGGCGGACACATCGACACACACACTCATCCTGGCGTATTCGACTACCCGTGGGTAAAGGTGAATAAATGATGGTTACCTGCGGGTAGCTGTCCTTAGCGAACACGTGCAGCAGTGCCGTTTTCCCGCACTGGCTGTCCCCGATCACCACCACCTTGCAGCGCATGGCCGGACCTTCCATGGTCGGATTTCTCCCCAATGATGCCGATCCCCTGGCCACCGTCGCTCTGCCAGGGCGCGTGTGAGTGTGTGCGCGCGTGTGAGTGTGCGAGTACGTGGCGTGCGATTGTGCGGAGGAGTGCATTGGGAGAGCGAGCGTGCGTGCGTGCGTCCGCGCGCGCTGCTGTGCCTGTATTGCTGTGAGCCGGCGCGTACCCCTGCTGCCTAAATGCGGGGTTGCGCAAGTCTTCTTTTTAGTCGTACCGCCTTCCCAGCCGCACCGCCCAGCCTCTCCTCCTACTCCTCCTCTCAGTCTCTCCGCCTCCCAGCTTCTACTCCCAGCCTCCTCTCCCGGCCGCACCTCCCAGCCGCACTGCCTCCCAGCCTCTCCTCCTTCTTCTAGCTTCTCCTCCCAGCGACACGGCGCCCCCTCTCCAGCTTCTACTCCTAGCCTCTGCTCCCAGACTCTCCTCCTTCAGCCTCTCCCACGCTCAGCTTCTCCTCCCCTCCCAGCCTCTCCTCCTCCTCCTTCTTCCAGCTTCTCCTCCCAGCGACACGGCGCCTCCTCTCCAGCTTCTACTCCTAGCCTCTGCTCCCAGACTCTCCTCCTTCAGCCTCTCCCACGCTCAGCTTTTTCTCCCCTCCCAGCTTCTCCAGGCTGTCAAGCTTCTCCACCCAATCAGCTGCTCATCTCAGCTTCTATATTCCAGCGTTCCTCGGGCTTGCATTCCTGTGCACTGCAAGGACGATGATGAGTCGGGATCCGGGGCGAGGAGTCCCCCCCACCACCACCACCACTCTCCCTCTCTTCCACCCCGCCTCTCTCCCTCTCTTCCACCCCGCCTCTCTCCCTCTATTCCACCCCTTCTCTCTCCCTCTCTTCCACCCCGTCTGTCTCCCTCTCTTCCACCCGTCTCTCTCCCTCTCTTCCACCCGCCTCTCTCCCTCTTTTCCACTCCGACTGTCCCTCTTCCACCCTTCTCTCTCCCTCTCTTCCACCCCGTCTGTCTCCCTCTCTTCCACCCGTCTCTCTCCCTCTCTTCCACCCCTCCTCTCTCCCTCTTTTCCACTCCGACTGTCCCTCTTCCACCCGTCTCTCTCCCTCTCTTCCACCCCGCCTCTCTCCCTCTCTTCCACCCCGCCTCTCTCCCTCTATTCCACCCCTTCTCTCTCCCTCTCTTCCACCCCGTCTGTCTCCCTCTCTTCCACCCGTCTCTCTCCCTCTCTTCCACCCGCCTCTCTCCCTCTTTTCCACTCCGACTGTCCCTCTTCCACCCGTCTCTCTCCCTCTCTTCCACCCCTCCTCTCTCCCTCTTTTCCACTCCGACTGTCCCTCTTCCACCCGTCTCTCTCCCTCTCTTCCACCCCGCCTCTCTCCCTCTCTTCCACCCCGCCTCTCTCCCTCTATTCCACCCCTTCTCTCTCCCTCTCTTCCACCCCGTCTGTCTCCCTCTCTTCCACCCGTCTCTCTCCCTCTCTTCCACCCGCCTCTCTCCCTCTTTTCCACTCCGACTGTCCCTCTTCCACCCGTCTCTCTCCCTCTCTTCCACCCCTCCTCTCTCCCTCTCTTCCACCCGCCTCTCTCCCTCTTTTCCACTCCGACTGTCCCTCTTCCACCCGTCTCTCTCCCTCTCTTCCACCCCGTCTCTCTCCCTCTCTTCCACCCCTCCTCTCTCCCTCTCTTCCACCCGCCTCTCTCCCTCTTTTCCACTCCGACTGTCCCTCTTCCACCCGTCTCTCTCCCTCTCTTCCACCCCGTCTCTCTCCCTCTCTTCCGCTCCGCTTGTCCCTCTTCCAACCGTCTCTCTCCCTCTCTTCCACCCCTTCTCTCTCCCTCTCTTCCACCCCTTCTCTCTCCCTCTATTCCACTCCGTTTTCTCCCTCTCTTCCACCCCGCCTCTCTCTCCTCTTCCACCCAGCCTCTCTCCCTCTCTTCTACTCCGCCTGTCCCTCTTCCACCCGTCTATCTCCCTCTCTTCCACCCCGTCTCTCTCCCTCTCTTCTCCCCGTCTCTCTCCCTCTTCTCCCCGTCTCTCACTCTTCTCCAAGTCTCTCGCTGCCAAGCTGCCAATAAGGCAGTATTTGGGGGGGCGGGCGTGTGGCAGAAAAAAACGACACTGTCCGGTCCAGCGATCACAAAGCGCCTCCCGTGTGTCACCCACGTGCTCCTTGGGTAAATTCCTCGCCATTTAGAATTACCAATGGCATTCATTTGTGTAATTACACGATCGATGAGAGCCTCGTGAGAGCCGTGTAATGTCAGCTACAATAAACATCTATTTAGCCAGGAAAGCCTCACCGAGAACTCAAGACTTTTTTTTTCAAGGAGGGTCGCGCATTTGACATGTTTGGCCAATTATGAATAAGTGTGTTTGCATGTGGGTGGGAATTCCCCACAGATGACAACAGTCAAAATCCGTCCAGACGAGCTGCGATTCCACTTGCTATACTGCCACCCCTTGGCCACTACTTGCTGTACTGCCACCCCTTGGCTACTACGCAGGCCGACAGCTGCAGCGTCTCGTCTAAAATCTCCGCACAATCCGCCAACCCCCCCCCCCCGCCTGCAGAGAAGCCGTCACGATGTCGCGTGGAGCAGATTAGCAACACTTTGAAAGTGTGGCGTTGAGTTGAGACATCGGATCAATAACTTCGGGAGATGCGGATTGAATGTGTGAGATGTGGCCAGTGAATGAGCCGCAAGGGGGGCAGTTGGCGATGTTGTTCCACAATTCCGAGGCCTGGTTTCGGCAACACAAGAGCAACAACAGACGCGAGCAACAACTTGTGCCGCACAGCGTGTGTATGCGCAGCCTGCTTCGTGAAACGTATTCGACGCAGCACTCCTGTGCCCGTGCACACGGAGATGGAAAGGGCCATTGAGTCCCTTCGTAGAAACGCTCTGTTCTGGGGAAGCCCGCGTCTTATTTAGACCATTACTCTTTACGAGGAGCGGCGGCGTCGGCCCAGGCTGGGACGCGAACCGTAAGAATAACCCGGTTGAATAAAGACACGTATGTATGATGAACTTCCTTCGCACCGTACGTAGCCAGCCGTGCTAATCGACCCCACGTTACATGCTGATGTTGACACTGCCGTTGATACTGAACTTATTCTGTCACAGCTGCATTCCGCCCAAATAGAATTACGTTGTTACCAAAAACACAAATCCCCTTTAACGCAATAATTTCCATATACTTGACGCTCGGGCTGAATGATGGAACCCCTGAGAGTCATTGTAATAAAAACAAATGTCGTGTTCGTCTGTCAGTGAGTTAAAAATAATGTGTTACGTCCTCTGCCACATCTTCATAACTAATAATAATAATATTTCGGTCCTATGTCAATCCACTTCTGGATGGAGGTCTCCTCGCGACTTACGTCGGCCTCGTTATTCAGGGTTGTTCGGCCATACTTCACCACGCTGGGAAGTAGGGGTTGGTGAAAAAGGGGTCCAGAATCGGTCGGGACACCAACTCGCCACTGATGTTAGCCGTGGGCGCGAATCGAACTCACATTTGCCGGGTTCATAGTGCAGCGCAAAGTCAACTTATGCCACCGCGCTCTCACCCCTTGGTAGTGCGTTATGAAATCGATCGCCTGACTCTTCTAAGCTCCGTTAATTCTAGATTGAAAAATGTAATCTACCGAATGTTTTGGTTTACACTGCATTAGATGAGCTCTTACCAGCGAGTGTTGTCAAATGCGCGGGCGATATCAAGCACGCCCGAAAGACATCAATGGAACTGAATTATATTATCCATGCCACTTAAAAGATCGACTTTGCTATTAAACACAGCACCCCCCACCCCCCCACGCTTCCGTCTCGTGTCGCGCAAGGCTTATTGAACTGTCAGCTAACGCGTATAAACAAACTCGGGAAGCGAACACACAGGAGCGGTGTCGAAGCTACGTATGAAGGTCTTACACTCGCCGATGGCTGGCGTGTCTTAACATGTTCCTCTGCAGTTGTTTATTAAGCGCCCAGCTGCACAATACAATGGGATTTAATGATCGACGCGAGTCACGATCTAATCCTACTTAAACAGCACAACGGTCACACGTTTAACCTGAATGGGGAGAGGTGATGCCATGCAATTTAAAGATAAGCAGTAACTCTCAGCGTCGAGAAAAGTGGGCTTGCTAGGGCGGGTCACTTTGCTAGTGGAAGGGATTGCTGGCCGATGGTCACGAATAGTGACGGATTGAAATGGAATTGGACGCGTCCGAGAGGCCTGAGATCGTGTGCGCAGTAGCCGGGTGCATCGCCGGATAGTGAGAGATGGCGACTGCTTGGGAATCACTTCATCCAGCAGTGGAGTGAGCATGGCTGCTGCTAAACGCTGTTCTATAATTCGTATAGCCCCGTGTGTGTGTGTGTCACCGCCCCCTACGCGGTTTGTGTGCAAGAACTCACGCACTAAACTCCTGTCTCGGAAACCTGTGATCCCACACAGGCTTAGATGGCATGTCTATTACACGGAGTGCTTGTGTGCACAAGGATCAACGCTGCCGCTGCCGTGTCCGCTTACAGCCATGGCGATCCTAATCCATTTCGTTCCATGCAGTCGCGCCACAGATTTAAATAAACGCAGAGAAAATAAAACAGAATTCACACGGCTGTGAGAAATCCCTTTCGCGACGCTCGTCCAAGGGGACTGCTGAGCACACTTGCGAAGGAACGAGCTTACACACCTGTGTGTGTGTGGGGAGACTCACCACTACTGCACTCCACCACCAACGCAGCTCTAACTCTGCCCAACCATGACCCCTTTTGTCCTTGATGGGAGTGTGAGTGCAGGGTGGCGCTGCGGTCAGAGTTGCTGGCTCGCGGATTGGAAGGTGAAGAGTTCAAATTCCGGTCGAGTGTCGACTGAGTGTATCCTCCATTTGGGGGATCGATACATTAGTGACATTTCAAAGGGAAGTCAACGGGGGTCGACCGATCGAGATACCTTCTGACCCTGCGTACGTAGACATTTGGAATGTTAGCACGGGATTGGCAGCCATAAGGGATACCGTATTCTCATGATAAGATGTATCTATCCCAACTTTTAAGTAACAAAAAAATGGGGGGGGGGGGGGGGGGTCGGGGCAGTGCGTCATGTAATTTGGATAATGCAGTATCAGGATATTTATTTATACTGAAGGAATCCGATGAGTTCTAAAGCCATTTTCCACAAATGTCGAGCAGGTCGCAGTGAACGAAATTGGCTCCCCTGAGTCATTGCAAAAAAATACACATTCCCAGTGCACAACTCTAATGGATGATACACTTGAGTCTACCTCCGCGGACTGGGATTTGAACGGTCAACCTTCCGATGGCGGGTCAACCTCACCGCAGCGCCACGCGGACTACATTACACAGCAGTAACATGAAGAAATAATTACTTATGCACGAGT